ACACATTATATAATTATTTATAAATAATGAGCTTTGACAGTGGTGTAGTCAAAGAGACGGAGTTTAGGGGCTTCAAACTTGTTCTATTTATTTAATTTTTTATATTTTTAATAATTAACAAAGTATATCTAAGTACAAGGAAACAAATAAGGCAATAACTTTACTACAGTCAATTAAATTTTTAAATTATTTTAATAAAAACAACCTATCACGCATGTATATGCTGTTAATACAGCATTTTACGATATCAGGCTTTCCGGCATTTTGTATTTCCTCACAGAGAAAACTAAATCTAAATCGATTGTAAATGACTGAATTTACCGTAGAAAGAGTAGAATTTATTAGATAATTTATTTTTACAAATTCGGGCCCAAATCGTAATTTTTATTATTTTCGCTTACGAAGCAACGGGCTAGTGGCAGAAATTGTAAATATCAGTTTAATGTTTGGGTAAATTTTCGTGTTTTATATTAACAGAGATAAAAAGTTGCTGCAATCGACATGCTTAAAATAGTTAACGTGAACATGTTTATGTATTTTTATTTTTCATCAAGAAAATGAAAAAATGTTTTATTTTACGTAACTGAGGTTTTTATCTTTTTTACTTCAACCCCTACACCGCTGGTCTTTCATACTTCAATAAGTACGTCGTTATAGGGCTGCCTCGTCTGAAACTCTGACGCAAAGATTTTTACTGACCCAGAGGGGAGAGGTGATCCTTCTTCCAAAGGGTGCGTTCTGAAATAAGGGAAATTCATATTCAAATGACAACTCGGCAAAGAAGAAATAACAAGGAATAAAGTATTCGAAGTGTCTGAATTATTTTATTCGATTAAGCTAACGTGCCTATCACGTTGAGGTTAGCTACGCCGGGATTCGTTTCAGCAAGTAGATATCCATATATTTAAATGGACCTTGTTGGNCCAAAGGGTGCGTTCTGAAATAAGGGAAATTCATATTCAAATGACAACTCGACAAAGAAGAAATAACAAGGATTTTTTTATTTCATATATAAGCATATTTTGCTCAGGTACGTAAGGGAGCTGGAGCCCTTCCCTTTATATTTAACCGTAAAAACAGCAAGGTCCAAAATCACCATCAAAAAACGTTATTGTGAGCAGCACTTGTAATAATTGTTAATCTAAGGAATAACATTTATAGATACTAAGCATAGATATACTAGGATAATAGGTACTTAGGTGAGGATAATACGTAAAGGCAAGTGGAAGTATGATACAATACGCTGGTACAGATTACAGACTACAGATAGAAATTTAATCGACCATTGGGGGTAGGGCTCGGCAAATTATCCAATTAATTGATTCATAATCGATTAATCAATTGTTCAGTAATCGATTATTTTCAATTTTTAAAAACAATCGATTATTTCCATTAATTGATTAGTCGGAATAATCGATTTTAATCGGAATAATCAATTGTTAAATTTTATAATCGCCAGCCCTATTATAGATGCCAACAGGTATGTATTATTTTATCAGTGAGAAAAATGATAGAAATACGATAAGTGTTATAAAAACGTAGCAATTATCCAACAACACTTGTAATTATTAATCGAAATAATAACATTTATGTAAGTAGGTAACAAGCGTAGATATACCAGGATGATACCAGCAATAAATAATATGACATCATAATCATAAATCGCCTTCCCAGTATTCCTAATACCCGCCTAGACTTTTTTTTTGTTTAGATTATTCTTGATGAGGGAGGTAGCATCGGATTTTTACTAAATCTGAAACCCCTCATCGAGTGGGAAGATCAACCCAAATGTTGTACATCCCCGGGAAGGAAATGGAAAGGGGGTTGAGTTGGGGAAAAAGTTGTGTGTGGGGAGGAGACGGGAGTATTTTAGGAAGAAACTATCGAATTAGTAAGTAAACCGTTTTTTTTGCGTAGATTCCACATTTTTACGGGAATTTAGTCGGAATCAATATTTTCCTTGCGACATGCGTCAGTGCTTAAAATCTCTAAATCTTTCGCTTTATAATCTCGCAATTCATTTCATGATAGAAAGGTGGTCGATAAGGTGTAAAGCAATGCGATTCGAGGTTGAAATTTCAAAGGCCGCCATTCAAGCAATCACGTAATAAGTACGCCATATTGAAAGGCGAATATTTTCTGTTAAGAATTGCCAATAACTAAACTTACGACAACCCCTTTATGTATGTTTTTTACTTCTAAGCTAGTAATAAAGGAGACCTAGCATTATTCGACCGTCGACCCTTATCGATCGTCAGTTTTATCATTGGATGATTTTATTTTTCATGAGATAGATCTTACACACACGATCCCAGTAGTATTTTTAATATTAAAATCATTTGGGAATAGAGATCAGGCCATTTAATCGAACCCTATCCGCTAATATTGCGATTCAGGAAGATAGATAACATCTAAAAAGTTACAATACGAACTGCTATCACTTTATGTGCGAAATAACCGTCTTCCTGATAGTAAATTCAGTTAAAATTGATATTAAGCCTTCAAAGCTCAAGAATAATTTAAATTGCCAAAAAACAGGACCATAATGGAATTTCCTAGAATCCCAGCCCAGAACCCATACATTAACTTATTGAAGATACCTGCAGCGTTCTAAATTCAAAAATAAAGCACACTTTCAGGTACCAATAATTTATTTAGCTACCATTTTACCAAACTATGCCTTCTCCAAATAAAATAGTAATAATATCAAACTAATAACAAATCATTTTTACATTAATTTACGATAAGTAGGCGAGGGGTTGAATCGTTTCAAAAACAACAAAGCAGATATCAAAAATTGGTTTAATATTTAAGAGGAAAAATGCTAATATCAATTTAACCGTTAATAATTAGACCTCATTTATTTAATTTATTTATTTCTGCACTCTCTTTCTTTCATTTCTAACTATAAAATTTCAAATCGTCATTAAAACTATGCTACTGTTGAGTAGTAGTTTTGTTTACCTATTTACGTACATTATTTATGTTCTTTAATGTGCTCTTTAAAGGACTTACCTCTTTGGCCTATGTAGGCTTCATTACAAGTTTATTTTAGCTTATCTGTATTCTCAAGACCACAAGCCTTATTACCTTTTGCCGCATTTTGAGGAAATATAATTCAATAATATTCTTATTATAAAAAAAATACTTTGATTTATCATTCTATACACCTCACACAAATATCTAATTAATTCATTCCTGTTCAGTAATAGTCTAATAGCATTAACTCCTAATTCAATAAGGGTCAGATTTATAACCAGATTATTGATAGCTACCATAAAAAATAACTAAACAACTCTTTATTAGTACTTTATTGAAATACAATAAATTTTATAACTACTTTAATATAGCTTAATATTAAGTTTGCATGTGTACAAGAGGAGAATTCTATTGTATACCTACCTCTAGTATGAATATTTTACTTTAAATTGGAAAGCACCTTTGCTTGAAAATACTCTTGATCGCCCTTGGTAGCTGTTTTGTTTATTGCCAAATGCCTTTCCCGACTTACAATTTCTTCTACAACTTCTCCATCCCCCTTGATCAGTCTGAAAAAGAACTACAATTAGTACATATAGTACCATACATGGATGAGCCTTCGGATTAACAATATATGAGGTTTTACTATTTAAAATATAAACCTATGTCTTCCACTTGCTTCATCATAAACCCTTCTTACAATACTCTGTCGTTTTTCCCATTGTTCCTTGGTCATGGGAGTCATATCATTAGCAGGTTTATCCATTAACGCTAACGGAACATCCATTTCCTCACCTTTTACATTTGTGTTATGATCATTTTTATTTTTTATATCAGTTTTATGTTCTTTCGTGTGTTTCTTTTTCCTTTTATGATGTTTCACTGAATTACTGTTACTTGCTTCCTTTGAATTTGAAGGGTTATGCCTTTCTTTAGACTTATATTTTGAATATTTCTTTGATTTCTTTTGCTTATCTTTTTTAGACTTTTTCGACATATTTACAATGAACAAATGCTAATAAATATAGAAACATACAGAAAGTTACATTAATAGGTTATATTTATGCAATGTTTCTATAATTATAATAATAAACACCAATTTTTAAAATTCATATATGAACATAATGAGGCCCCCTATGCGACCACACGTGCACTAAAATTAAAAATTAATGAGGTAAACTGTAGTAAAAGCAATTTTAATATTTATATATGAACATAATGGAGCCCTCTCTACGACTACAAGTGCACTAAAATTAAAAATTAAACATATAATGAGGTAAACTGTAGTAGAAGTAGTGGCGTCTATTTTAAATTTTTGCCTTTTGCTTAATTTTGCTGCATTAAAAAGCTATTAAGGTGCATAAAAAAGAATTTTTATGAATAATGATATACCTACAAAACTGTATGTTATTGCCAGTTTCTAAAAGAAGATCAAATAAAATATATAATACATATATGGGAGGGTAACATTTTTACCCATTGTTAAAGTCAATTAAACTTATTTTAAGCATCAACAATTCAAATATGAAGATTATTATAATAAGTAATAACAACGTCTAGAAGATTTTGATATATTGTGTCTTTATATATCAGCTATACAAGATAATACAATTGTAATCACATTTGGGTGTCCTACATGTAGTTTTTTTTATTTAGAAATCATCTCCTAAAATTCGAACGGTAATTTACCCCTCCACCCACCCATGAGGATTTATTTTTCCCTTTATTTTCTCTTCTTTTCGCTTCTCGGTAGTTATATAACTCAAACATCCAATCACTGGCGTGCTCGTCTTTTCGAATTTTTTCTCTGGCATTGTACAATTGGTCATACCATTCGCCGGAAACGGTATTGTTTAATTCTTTGCGTTTTATGCGCATTTTTTCCTCTTTGAGTGGTTCGTTATAGTATTTTGATTTGAAGGAATTTTTGTTATTGTCTTTGTTGTTAAAATGCCGACGACGTTTTTCTTCTCTTCTAACAAATTCTTTTATTTTTTCTGACCTTTCATACAGTTCCTTTTCCATTTTTAAAAGCTCCTGCTCTTTTGCATCGAGATATTTTTCTTTCTTCTTAATGTATTTTGCGCGCGAATTTAATTTTTCTCGTTTCCTTTTAAGTTTCATTATAAATCTTTTGTAGTCGTCTTTATTAAGTCGTTCTAACTGATTCGCTTCAATGTCCAAAATATTTTGGCCTTTTGTTGAACTTTTCTGCCTTTTTTCAAATTCTAAACCTTTTTTATTAACTTCACCGATACTTTCTTTTGAATGTTTCTGTTTTCTATTTTTGGACCTGTTCTTTGTATTCTTTGTTTGCCCATTGTCCTTTTCAAGTGGTAAATTATTAAAATTTATTTCCTCAGCAGGAGGAATTACTTCAAATTTCAGTTTAAAATTGTTTTCATCTACGGGGTTAATTATTAGGTGCCCTGCGTCTTTTTCATTGTAAATGTACTGTGTCAAACAGTACTTTGAAATCGGTGGACACTCATTTGAATAAAAACCTTCTTCAAAGTCGCCCTCATCCAAAGTGTTATTCTTATGAAAATATTTTAAAAAAATACTGTTCAAAGGAGATAGAAAAATAGACAATGCTAAAATTAGAGCAATGCTCACCGAGGTCAAATAAGAAAAATTCAGTTGATCACAACTTCCAATTATTGGCAAATTGGATTCTTCTAATGTAATGTGTTTATTCAGAATAGTTGCATTATTTAAATCTTTTCTCTCCAATGGCTGCAAAGAATCATTGGTAGACTTATCATTTCCACTTTCCACTGATGTAGATGTATCAGAAGAAAATAGCAAGTCATCAGTGCATTTTTCAGCTGTTTCTACAACGGCCTCATAGTGTTCAAATTCTTCACCATCGCTTAAGATGCTTATACTATCAGATTCACTGCTTCTAGATGAAGGTGCTGAAGGATTCTTCTTTGTTAATTTTGAATTATTTTTGTGAGAGTCAAGCACAAACTCCCAAGAGGACGCAGAATCAGTTGAATCACTAGGAGAGTCCTGTTTGTCCATTTCGTGGAGTAGAAACTAATATTAAATTAGAACAAACTTTCTTAAAAGTAAAAGACGATTCCTCATAACCTCTACTTACCAAAACGTTACTAAAAACGCGAGTCACATCGATGGCTACGATACTGTTGTAACATTCAATGGGCCAATAACGTAAACAGCAGGTATACAATTTCCTTTTGTTTATTTATTATACGTTTTTTTGATTTGATTTGACGTTTCTTTGTCAAATCAGCCATAGATAAGATATATCAAAAAACAAACCATAAAGTACACAAACACAGTGGCGTAACTAGGTTATTAAAAGCCCAGGGAACGAAAAAATTTTAGTGTTCCAGTTTTATTTTAGTGAATAAAATTTAATGTTTTACTATTCGATTAAAAATAATTGAGCGTAATTTGGTGTTCTAAGCATGTTTCAAATGTAGGTAACCTTTTAAATCTTATTTAGTGTACATAAAGTAACTTTTTTGAAAGGCTTGAAACAGTATCACTATTACTGATTTCCATCTTACAAACTAACAAGAATGTTCTTTCAAAATCAGTAACATTATACTAAAAAGAAAAATAAACGATAATACTTACATAGTTTGTAAAATTCCGCTTTTAGAACAATTATCTTTCAATTCATTTTATTTCACTATATCGTTTTAAGTGAAAAAAGTCAAGTCAACAAATAGAAGCATCAGAATCTTTATTTTTAAATGGAAAGGCCACTTAATTGATGTACATTATAAAGTGGTTGTAGGTTTCAACATAAAATTGCTATTATAATTTTGTTTATCAATACACGGCTGACTTTTACATCATTAAAATTACAGGATTCAGTAGCTTATTGTTCGACTGTAATTAAATTTTAAACGTCACTTTTTTATCAGCTTACTGCATAAAAACGTCAAATATTAAAAATCATGATTATTTTCCAACAAAAAGAATGCACAATTTGGACAGAAAGAGTTTCATTAATATCGCATCTCACGTTTTACTCTGGACCTTGTTCATGTAAGTTACCGTAACAAAATAATTAAACTGAATAGCTTCTCTATTACATCTCAGATACCTATAATATTAACATAAATTTCAAGAACAACAAGTTTCGTCCGTCCAATTGAACGTGAAATTTTAAAAGAAGAACTATGGAAGTATCAATATCCGTATGTAAAAAGTTACGTGTCATCAAGTTCTTTATTCGTTTTCGTTTTCGCTGTGCCCACAGCCGTTGTATTTCTAACCGATATGAGAGATGTGCCAAACGTACTCGAAGGGGTGTCATTGGCATGTAGTTTAAGTGGAATCATCGCGGGTGTGTTAAAATGCGCGGTAGGGAGACCGCGACCCGATTTCTACAATCGGTGCTTCCCCGATGGAAGAGGCGATGCCCACTTTAAATGCACAGGCGATCGCATTATCGTGATGGATGGAAGAAAAAGTTTTCCTAGCGGCCATGCCGCTTTCGCATTCGCCAGCATGCATTTTATATGTCTGTATCTGTGTTCGAAATTGAAAATTTTTGAGAACCACAGAGGGGAAATTTGGAGGATTTGTTTGTGCATCTCACCACTAATTTTAAGCAGTTTAATCGCTGCCAGTAGAATTTGCGACCATCACCATCACCCAGAAGGTAATGCATCTCAATATCCGGAAGCATATTACACCAAACCGATCCCATGTTCCGGGGGTGTTTTGTTTTCCAATATTTTCCAGGATTTAGCTCTGTAAAATGATTTTTATTTTAGCAATAGTTTCTTTGGGGATGTACTTACGCCATGTGGCTCTATTTTAACCCCCTTCCTCCACCCAACCACCCCCCGTCATAGAAGTGTCGATAAAAAGTTGTAAAAAATCACTATTCTAAAGTAGCATTCATTCAGAGTATCTGACAGCACTAACTCACTAACACTTCGTATCCAGAAACTAATTTAAAAAAAAATCGTAACGTTTTCTCAAGTTTCATTTATTTGTCATTCACGTCCAGTTTAGCTACGTAATTTTATCTTTCAACAGCCCCTAGAATACCACGATTTATTTAATTTTTTCGAAATGATTTTTTTTTTTTAAAGCCATCTGATTGGCTAGCCATTCCACTGCACGTAGGGTTGCCATCTCTAAAATTTGGAAACCCGGACAAGACGCGTGAAAACCCCGGATTTTAGAGTACAAAACCCGGACATGTCAACAGGTTTTTTTAAACATAGTCAGTGTAATAAAAAACAGTTGAAAATGTCATAAATCACCTTTTTATTTATTTTCAGACCTTAAAATTAAATTCAGTAATTTTTTATCATCATTTTAAATGTACCTAACGAAACAGAATCTTATTACAGTCTGTTACAAGTTGTTTTAATAATCAGTTAGATTTTTTTATTCTTAAAATAAAACACAAATTATTAATATACTTACTTTGTTATGAAAACAAAACCTTATAAAAATATGAAACCTAAAAAAAAATTAATTAAATTTTTAACCAAAAATCTTAAAAATACTGAACCATTCTAGTATTCAGTCTTACAATTTTTGGTGTGCGAGCACAATGCGTGCCGCGGGCGGCCCATGACTTTAAATTTTTAAACCCGGACTACAAATGAAGCCCGTCCCCACGGACGCTCCCCGGATGTCATTTAAACTAGGACAAATCCGAGGAAACCCGGACGGATGGCAGACCTAACTGCACGAAATAAAGTTTCTGCATCCTCTTTTGGAGCTTTCAAGTCTTCATTTTTTTTTTATTGAAGAAACACGTTGTTCAGATATCAACCCCCGCGTATAGTTCAGTATAGCTTTTTGGCACCCCCCCCCCTGGCCCTTATAGAGCCTTATGGTTTTTTAATTGAAAGGAAAGGGACCGCTCAGGTATTACAAAACGCCGTAAGGGATGGGAGTCTTATAAAACGCTACGGTGCGTTACAATGAGGAGGGGGGGATTATGTTTTGTTACTATGAACGCGATAGTAACAGTAACAAACGTAATTTCAGTGATTTTCCGGTATTTTACGCGACATAATTAACATTTATAAGTACACGTGGTCACTATGGTGTTACATTACGAGAGAGAGGGGAGTGAAGCAAAGCGTTACGGAGTTTTATAAAGGAGGGAGGGAGGGGGATTGAAAAATTCAAAAGTTGCGTTACATATTGCTTAAAAAGGGGGGGGAAGGGTTTATCTAAAAGGAAATGTCAAAAACACAAAAATAATCAAAAACTAGGAGGATTTAATAGAACTGTTTTATTTTAGATGTCATTGCCGGTAGCATCCTAGGAAGCATGGTATCCCATTTCGTTTACTATCAGTATTTTAATGAGCTGTCGCTGACCCCAGAAAGGAACCTGACTCTCTAGTTAAGTTTCATAAGTGAAATAAATATTTAATTCATTTTTCAAAACAAGTGAAAGATGTTTGCGTTTATTTTTCTTAAAACTGTTATATTATGCTTACAATTTGTCATTTAAAACAGATTATATATATATTATATTATGCTATTAAATATAATCACAATTTTACTTGGCTAACAACTCACAAAGTTTTCTTTTTAGACGACTTCTTTGTTCTAGGTAGCGTAGCATTAGTTGAGATCTGTAAAAAAACTGAAATGTAATAAGAGAATAAAAATGTAAATTGAGTAACCATAAATTGGCAACGTTATTAGGAAAAGCAATCATACAGGGCGTTTTTTTAACAAATACACAAAGTAATAAGCTGTCTTAAAAAAACACTAAATCAATAAACCTTTATTAGAACTGACTAAAAAAAATACATTTTTCATTGACTTATTATTGACATTATTAGAAAATACCACAAATGGCGCAGTAAACGCCATCTGTAGCACGATGCTACATTTTAGGATTACGTATGCTCCAACAAGGTCCACTTGTGTGGATATCTACTTGCTGAAAACGAATCCCGGCGTAGCCAACCTCAACGTGATAGGCACGTTACCATAATCGAATAAAATAATTCGAAGTGGTCTGTATTCTGTCGAAACTGCCACACGCGGATCGCGATTTCGATCTTTTTGGATCTCATCAGCG